TACACAGCACACAGATGTCTTGGGTGTCCTTAAGTCTTAGTTTGTTCTCCGTACCTGTTTGATAGTGTATACCGTTGTTAGTAGTGGACTCCTGTGGACACTAGTGTGTCGCTAGCCTATTGTTTTGGCTGATGAGTCATTGGTTTGTGGTTAGTTCTTTTTTTTGAAATCCTTTTTTGCTCCAGTCACTGTGTGTGCTGGCGGTGGCTTTGCCTCTCCGTTGCCTCGAAGGAACAGGTGGAGCAATGTCTCCCTCTGACAGACATTACTCCCGACGTGTGCTCCTGCAGATGCCTACACTGAGACTGTAATCTCCATAACTGCTTCATGTGCACCAAGCCCCCTTGTGGAATCCTGCTGAGAGTTTTTCTAGAAGCCTTCAGTGAAATCAAACTGTTCTGAATCATTTAGTCTACCTGACTTTTGTGTAATAAAAACAAACTAAGAGCACTTACTTGTTCCCTTCCCCTTGTGGGCCTTTTTAAAACATTCTGTCTCTGAATGTATATCTCTGCTTAAAGGGGATCAAGTTGCACTTAGTTGAAACACGAAAGACATATAAATCAGAACCATAAAGTATCAATTTAAGAAGGCTTAAACTCATATAATGTCAGCTTTTTGATTTTAAAAAAGTTATCTCATGGCTCCCCTGGGTTTGGCTTCTGGTTTTGGCCAGGGCACAAGCGTGAGCCTGTCTTTCTGAAGTCTTTTCTAGAGGGATGTCACCACTGTTCAGCTCTCCTTGGTGTGTCACAGAACATCCTCTGGTATACATACACTTGTTGCTGGCATAGCCCAGCATGGCTGACCCAATTTAGGTTGAACTATTGTGGTTGCCTCTTCTCAATCTCATTCTCCAGACTAAAGACTCTTCTAAAGATTACAAAACAGCAAGAAAAACAGAGTGCCCTTTGGGGAAGTGAGGATGTGTGGCTAAATGTACAGATTGTACACATCCATTCACATTGCAGGATTGAGCCAAAACTGCATGCATTCACCACAAGAAAACAAACAGCAGGATTTTACAACTGAAATGTTGGTTTGTCTTCTCATCTATTTAAGAGTGAACCACTGGAACTTGGGGACAAGATGAGTATAACAATGTTGCAGCCTATCTGTCCGCTACAGTTGCAGTTTTTCATGACAAGCATTCAAAGTGTTAACTAAAACCATTGAAACAACATACCTGCCATTTAAACTTGAATCTAGAAATAATAACTCCATGAGTGTTTTGCACCTCCAGATGGAATGGCCTTTAATAAATGCTGTGAGTAGCCATGATTGCCACTTGCAGTTTGCTATTCTATTAATCCTTATGCAGAATCTAACAGTTTTCTTCTTTCTTCTCTTATCTCTCATGGATTTTTAAAAAACTGAACACCATGTAGATGATGAACCAGCTGGACCAATGTAAGTACTTTATTGGACATTGATTGAACAGTATCTGATTGAATTATGTTGTGTTTGCACTTTAATCAAATGGAGTAGCTAAGATTGGAGGGGAAGACAGTGAGTGGAAATGAAGGTTGCAGTGTTGCAGATTTCTTAGCTTGACACAGATCTGACTAAAAACAACTTGATTCTCAGGATAGGCTATGCAGTCTTGTTTTCAGTGGCCATACAAAGTGGAATACCATGCAAAAAACTTTTTTTCAAATTTCGCATATTCGATATGCTTAAAATGTGGGGGAAATGGCCAGTATATCTGAGGCTTCCTGTTTTGTCAATGTTAAAACATTTCTGATCCCAAGCATTTCAGATGAGGAATACTCAACCTGTAGCTGCTTAAGGAATGTTTTTTAATGCACTCATACTGTGCCACAAAATTTCTCACTACACCAGGGATGACAGTAAAAGAATCCCTGTATTTCCATGTGTTACACTTTCAAAGGTTGTTATTGACCAAGTTTAACTCATGTAATGCAATTTGAGGCTGGACTGTAGCCTGGATAAACAGTCTAGCCCCATTAACAATTGCTGGTATCCAAGAGAGAGAGTACTGCAGGTATGGAATCAATCTAAGCTGGGCAGAATCTCCTAGAGTTGGACTAAAGAGTGAGAAGCAGACAAACAGCACCCAAATTTGTTAAGTACCAGAGGGCCCAGCACTGCCAGCTTATGATTACCTTTTTTTTTTTTTTTTTTGAGACAGAGTCTTGCTCTGTCACCCAGGCTGGAGTGCAGTGGCACAATCTCAGCTCACTGCAAGCTCCGCCTCCC